GAGATTTGTTGAACAAAGCAAAGCCTCTAGCACGGATGATGAACTGCAAGGACTTTGAAGACGTCAACAAGGGCCTGGAGTACGAGCACAACCTCCGCCTAGCCATCTCCCAGCTTCAGGAATGGCGGCAGATGGGCATCGGTGACCTGAAAGCAGGCGAGAAGTACGAGCAGGATAAGCAACAGCGCGTGCAACGACTGCTTCCTCAAGGGTCATTTGACCGGTTTGCCAGCAACCGCCCTAAGCAGGCACAGCTGACAGAGACCCCAGCGGCAGCAATCCAGCTCACCACACCTGAATTGCCACTGCGACTGCAAAAAGCTGCCAATCCGCATGCACTGGCGGATCCTGCTGACGAACCATTGAACGATTTCGATCGCGCCTTCGCTGTCGATGGGGATGCGCCTCCCCCGCAGCCGGCAAAGGCGAAATACGTGGTGCCGCCACTTAGCGGGATGCCGTCATGGAAGCTGGACAATGACACTGCTGCCGACCTGCACCTCCTGACCAAGGAAGAGGCAGAGGTATGCAACGTTCTACGCCTGATGCCGAAGCCTTATTTGGTCATCAAAGACACACTGCTGAGGGAAGCAATGAAGCAGGGCGGCAACCTGAAGAAGAAAGATGCACGCGTTATTTGCAAGGTATGTTTCTTACTCGACTATTGAAATAAGAATCTCTTACTAACTCTGTTAGATTGAGGGCACCAAAACCAGCCGCATTTATGATTTCATGGTACACAGCGGTTGGATCAACAAGGCGTAGGTGCGCCAGATCCATTATACGCTGTAATCGCTTCTTAGCTTATTGATATCCAAATCTATTTGTGATTTTGTTCGGGAGCGTTTCTTTTTTGGCGTTCATAGGGAACTTGGGAGATGGGTGGATGTGTCAACATAAGTCGCAGGCAGAATAACACCTGTAATTCGCACAATTGTACAATGAACAGTAACCTACTATCCTATGTATCATCTAATCTAATGAAAATAGTCGATAAATATCACTTCTAAAGACAACCAACGAAGGGTGCAGTAATCATCCCCCACACTCCTCGGTCCTCGGCATAGCTTCTCCGCATCTACAAATAACCCCAACTCCCGTCGATCACTACTTTTCCATACCATTTCCTTTATTCATTTTTCCTTCTCCTCCCCCTCAATTAAAACAGATCTCCCAGCAAACCCCCAAGAAAACCAAAATGCCACCCTTCACAATCCAACCCCCAACCCCAGCCCACGCAACCCTCACCTACCCAGCACCCCACATCCTCCTCGTCACGCTAAACCGACCCCGCGACCTGAACTGCATAAACTCCCAAGGCCACGCAGACCTCCACGCAGTCTGGGAATGGCTCGACGAAGAGCCGAGCATGCGCGTGGGCATTTTAACCGGAAAGGGACGGGCGTTTTGCGCCGGCGCTGATCTAAAAGGTGAGCCAGCACAGCAGACCCACAGGTGTGACAGAGCCAGTACACAAAAGCGCACACAGACGCAGACCATCACTAGCACCCAATCTGCAAAAACCGACCCCCTCCAATCCATCCGCTAAACTCGCTAACTCCATCAGAATGGAACAACCGAACCTCGTCAACAACCTCAACGCCCAAACCCGCAATGCCAAACAGCGGATTCGGCGGACTAGCACGACGCAAAGGCAAGAAGCCAGTGATTTGCGCGGTGAACGGACTCTGTCTCGGGGGTGGAACGGAGATGATCATCAACAGCGACATAGTGATTGCGTCATCGCGTGCTGTATTCGGGTTGCCGGAGGTGAAGCGCGGGGTTGTTGCTCTTGCTGGGGCATTGCCGCGACTTGTGCGGACTGTGGGCAAGCAGCGGGCTATGGAGATGGTTCTTACGGGACGGATGGTTGGGCCTGTTGAGGCGGAGAGATGGGGGCTTGTTAATTCTGTTGTTGTCGTTGGTGAGGGGGTTGGGGAGGAGGAGGTTGGTAGGGCTGTTTTGGGGAAGGCTTTGAAGGTTGCTGGGGAGATTGCAGGGAATAGTCCTGATTCGGTGCTTGTTAGTCGTGAGGGAGTTAAGTTGGGGTGGGAGGGGATTGGGGCGGATGAGGCTACGGCGATGTTGAATGAGACTTGGGTTAAGAGGTTGAATGAAGGGGAGAACATTAAGGAGGGACTTCGGGCCTTTGTGGAGAAGAGGAAGCCTGTTTGGGTTGACAGTAAGTTGTGAGATTACTTTTAGACTGGGAGAAAAGGATTGAAAAGAGATTCGATGCTCCATTCGCTATTCATACTACAATTCATAAAGTCATATAAACACTGATCCCATTACTCCCGCGCCGTGTACCTGGTATTCGCGATATTCCATGCAAGTTGAATTTCAGTCAAAGCGAAATCAAATGCGCGGTTGCCCTGCCTCTCTGAAAAAGCGACGTTAGGATGTTGTGAGTGAGGCTGTCGTAAGGAAGAGGTGCCTACTTTGCGTCGGATTGTACGCCGTCCACGACCTTGACCACATGGGGGAAGAGGGTGTGGTCTCGGTCCAAGCCGGTCAATCGGACAGCAGCATCGGCAGGCGAGTTCTCCTTGAGGATCTTGGCCAGCTCCACACTCTCCTCGTCACCTTCCACATTCTGGAACCGCAGAGCCATTTCCAAAGAGCCCAGCAGTGACACGAACTTTCCGCCACGCTCGGCCAGCTGTGCAGCCGGGCCAATGAAACGCTCCTTGCGGGACACTTTGCGCATTGGGGCACGACCGACGCGCTCCACGGTGTCCGGGAGGTAGGGGTTAGAGATTCGGGTGATGATAGTCTCGACGTACTCTTGCTGCTCAGCGGCGCTGATTTCATGTTTGTCGACGATGAGAGAGGCTGTCTCTTGAAGCACATCACGGACAATGCTGCGGATGCGAGAGTCCTGGAGGGCTTCGGCAATGGTCTTCTTGCCGGCATTGTAGCCATAGTAGGCTGCGGTGGCGTGACCGGTGTTGACGGTGAACAACTTGCGCTCAATGTAGGGCTCCAGGTGGCCAACCCAGTGGATAGCTGGGATATCTGGGTGACCGAACTCGCCGAAAGGCGTCGACTCCACGGCCCATTCATAGAACTTCTCAATGCGCACGTTGAGGCCGCTGTCGGCGGCCTGGCCAGGCACAATACGGTCGATGGCCGAGTTAGCGAACCGGGCTCGGTCTGGCATAGAGCCGACACGGTCTTGAGCGGTGTTGTCTTTGATGAACTGGTGTAGAGTGTCAGTGGCTCCGATGGCGTTCTCACAGGCAATGACGGCCAACGGTGTGGCAGCGGTGCGGGCGTCGATGCCCTTGGCAATCACAGGAGCGATTAACTTGAGGATGTTCGGGCCCACGGCGCAGGTGACAACGGTGGCGGTTGAGATCTCCTTGATGACATCGCTCTCATGGGTCTTGGAGTTGATTGCACGGTAGTTGGTGATGGTCTTGGTAGTCTCACCCTGCTCACTGACTTCAGTGACCTCGTAGGACTTGGTGTTTTGTAGGGCAGTGATGATACTGTCCATGACATCAACGAAGACGACCTCATAGCCAGAAGTGTGAAGGAACTCGGCGACGAAGCCACGGCCGATGTTTCCACCACCGAAGTGAACAGCTTTCTTCTCCATGGTCGATATGGGAATGTGGAAGTAGAAGTAGAATTAAGAGTAGAAGTGGGTAGAGCTAGAGTAGAAGTAGAAGTAGTAGTGGAAGTGGGAGTGGGAAGTGAGAGTAGAAGTAGACAAGTAGATTAACTAAAGAGGAAGTCGCGTAAGTTGCAGTTCCTGTTGAAGGGGGAAAGTTGCCGCTATTTAAGGAAAGAGGGGGAATAGGGAAAGCACCATCAACCGTGGAAAAGCCCATATTCACGAATCTGTTCCTGTGGTCCCTGGAACTATGACGATGACTTCATATCTGGGCGGGACTAGCCTCCGCCTTGTTTTCAACCAGTAAGATGACATTATGAATACATATGTATGTTCTATATTATTCTGTTTTAATATTCGATAATTCTATAATTCTCTCTAACATTCTAAACGAGGATTATTGACCCGAGAGAGGTTACACTTCTTCTCCTCTAATGTCCGTGCAACCCCCATACTCCCAGCGACCTTGGAATTACCGCGCAATAGATAATACAAACATACACTATTCCTATTTCAGTAATTTATAGGTTTCATTTCGTGCCCATTCACAAGGCCTGAACCATTCACCGGCCAAACAAAAGAAAGGACCGGGAAAACCCGCCCATATTCGTCAAATACTTCGCGCTTTGACAAGGACCTTGGCAAATGTAGACTTCGGAGAAAATCAGCCGACAAGCCCGGGAAGATCTATCGGAGTACAGTGGTCCTCGGAGTCTGAGCCATTATTCGGAATGTGTTGAGAATGCATTGAATGGTTGGTATGAGGTATAACATGTCGTTACTTCAAGAATATTCGAGACTATTCACGATAGTCAATAGACCCTCAACTGATACCCACTATGTGGTGACGTCGGATGAACGGTCGATAACCCCGACCCATTTTTTTCCCACTTAGTCGCGGCCAAGTCTGATCCAGCCGAGGTGTTTATTTCGAAGTGTGTCCATTGCCTTCCACGCTCTAGCTCTAGGCCCGGAGCAACTTAGGAGATTGCTGCCTGGTTGCACTGCCCAACACATATCGTAGCCCCTGGAAGTTAGGGGGAAAAAGCCTAACCTTCGCGATACCGGGCCCGGCCATTGGCCCAACACCAGAACCCTCAGATATCCCGCAAAAGCAAGTGGCTGGGCAACTTTGCAATTTCCCTTGAAACGATTTCTAGCTGGATTGGCTATTCTATATTGGAATAATCTTAAGGTATCCCTAGGGTGGTATCCTTAATATGGTATCATTCGATTCATAAATGGCTCTCTATCTACTATGGGATGGATTATATTCGTTGCGAGTTTCCCCGACGTCCGCCCCCCGTCTGAAACCTGCGCTCTCCGACTGGCTACCACCACCGTTCCCTTCTTGTCTCCTTTTCTTTTCGGGTACTGATTACCCCTCTATATCCTTTGAGACGGGCGCAGGCGCATGCGCAGCCCGTTTGTGAATGAAGACATTCAAAAAGCAAGAAACACTACCGGCGAGCAACAGCCCCACCGCGGCCCAACTCATCCCGAGGAATCTCTCGCCGTAATGGGCCGACACGTTCGAGCCCTTGCCGTGAGCATTAATTAAAGCGACGAATTCGAAAGCGATAACAGTTGCGATTATGGATGCGATGCTGATACTAAAAGATCCGAGCTGATTAATGGTTATGTCAGCCGTTTGCCGTGTTCTGGGGAAATCTGAAATCCGAAATGCACCACGCTGAACTGGGAAGTGCACCTGCACAGACGATATGCAGAGACCGGAGTTTATGTAGGGGGTAACTCCACAAGATCGTGTGTCTGTGTCTCTGTAACTCACCATGAAAAACGAAAATTCAAATAGGCCCTGGCCTGCGCGCGGAGAGAGAGTCGTCCATACTCGTACGAGGATCACTGCGCCCATCGCGCCAACTCCGATGCAGTACATCACGGCCATGACTTGGCTTGTCATTCTGAAGGCGTGGAAATCATCGCTGATCACGCGCGGCCATCCCAGGTCCTGGCTGGAGGTGATCTCCTTCGGCCAGGCTTGTGTCGGGTCAAAAGAGGATAGAATCGTGCGGTTCGAGCATTCAGTCATGTTGCGCGTGACTTCGGTGCCGGGGTCGAGCGTTACCAGTGTTCCCTGGCAGTAGGACAAGACATGGATGGAATAGAAATCATGGGCTCCACTGTCGGCGGTTCCTGCAGTGCCTGCGGGTGTATAAAGCTAGATGGATAGACGGCGCCAAGTCAGTCTTCTGCATCTACCTGCCAGTTTAGAGCGCAGTTGGAGACGATCGGACTTACCGTCAAGAGTTCCACGTCTTGGAGGAAGTTTCTCTGCGTCCCCGCGAAGAGACATAGGAGGGTGAGTATAAATGCGATGAACGCTGTCACCGTCGGGAATAGGCTCTTGAGGTCCAGCATGGTGGATTTGATGTATGCGTTTGTCTAGTTCTAGTCTTCTGCAAGATATAGTTGGATTCAGTATGCAGTATCTGGGAATGACCGCAGATAATGATGGGAAAGCTCGATATTCAATGGGAAGATACCGGAATCTGCGATTCTCGCCCTCTTCACGATCCTTATATACATACCATACTGGAAGTCGGGAGGATCGGGAGGATCGGGATCTTTTCTCACGATGGCTTCATTCCAGGCGTGGGCTGTTAGAAAGGGGAACACATTTATTCCGCGTATATATCGAGACTGGATTTCCGTGGAATGTATGCATTACACATGATCGTGTATGGAATAAAAGGCCTATAGTATTGGAAATGTAAGAAGTCTGGAGTCGCCCAGGTATGATGGCTGGGGAAGGGAATGAGTGTGGTCCTGCGCACTTCAGGAATGCTGTTACCAGCCACGAAGGATCTTGCATGTCGAGATCGTACTAAAATTTTATTCGTGGGATCCGGCATCGATAAATTGAATTAGATATGAATTGGTTATGAATTTTATCTATGGGCTGGTATGGGAAGATTGCGATCTCAGAGATGAAGGGATGTGCCAGGTTATATATATATTGGAGCCCAAGAAATTTGACGTCAGTGGCAGGGGACTTTACACTTATGGCCTTAGCCACTTCCTAAATTGACAGCGGTAGTATAGCCCTTTCCGAGCATTGGTTCAATGTAGAAATTTCGGTGTGCCTCGACACAAAACCCTCGAATCCTCAACCAGTTTAGATTCTTCAGTGCAACAGATTCAAAACTTACCTGGATAATCTGATGGAAAATAGCAAAGAGACTGTAAGCATTGCTACGCAGAGACTTGGTTTATGGCAGCCACGTTCTTTTGAGGGGCCAAAGGGAGAGAGGGAGGAAAGGGTCAAATACTATCAGCCTCACCTACTGCCTTTTCTATGCATTAGTAAAACAGGTGATATTGAGCTGATAAATAACAAGCCGCACAAGACCGGCCTATAAATAGTCCAGGTCAGAATTTGGGCGGGGTAGGGCGGTAATATCCCAATATTGACTGGCTGAAACGCGGGCGCGTAGACATCTTCCCTGGATAGCGCGATAGATCGGGCTGACTTAGTGCTGAGCCCACCCAATGCCTAGAGTCGAAGATGTCACCTGATAGTGAGGCTGAAGATGGGCCACAAATATGGTAATAGGGTGCCGACACCCTTCTTCTGCCCGAAACCTAAATATTGTGTGCATCGTATGTTGACAATGAGCTCTATATCATTTGGTGACGAGAACTCAGGGTTCCAGGTGGGGGTCAACCACGGGCCGATATATATTCCAGCGGGTAAGTTCCAAACAGCCTAGAAATAAGGCTCAGGTCGTGCTAACAAATAGTGACTTCCACTTCTAGAGCAACCAGAACCCCGCCCAGAGCCTCTGTCAACCGTGCCTTTCCCGCATGATCCAGACTTCGTCAGCCGCGATGGACTCCTTGATCAAATCCACGAAAAGACCTCGATCCCGGGGTCTAGAATAGTTCTCGTTGGTCTCGGCGGCGTTGGGTTAGGTCAATCCAGGCTTGGAGGTCCATTCAAGGCTGACTTTGGAACAGAAAATCTCGACTCGCCATCGAATACTGCCACCGAGTCCGGCAGCAATCGCTCGACACCTGGGTTTTCTGGGTTCATGCGAGTAATGCCGCGCGCTGCGAGGAAAGTCTCCGCAACCTTGCCGATCGTGCTAAGATCCCCGGGCGCCAGGACAGGAACGCTAATATATTTCAACTCTTCGGGAACTGGTTGCAAGACGGGAAGATTGGAAAATGGATTCTTGTGCTTGATAATGTCGATGATGACGAACTCCTTCGCAAACCGTTGGCTGCTTCATTGGAGGCCCAAGCAAACACCAACAAGCGTGCCCCGATACAGCCACCGCTGAGGTACCTTCTCGAAAGCTCGAATGGCTCTATCATTATCACGAGCCGGAATAAAGGAGTAGCATCGGAGATCGTTGGCCATAAGAACAATATGATCGACGTGCGACCAATGAGTACAGCCGAGGCGCTAGTTCTCATGCGGAAGAAGCTTGATGAATGTACAGAGGGAGAGGAATTGGTTCAGCTAGTGGAGGAACTTGAGTTTATGCCACTCGCGATTGTGCAAGCGGCTAGCTACATCAACCACCGTTCACCCGGATGCTCGGCATTGCAATACCTCGAAAAGCTTCGGCAGAGTGATCGGCAAGCCACGAAACTTCTTAATCACGAGGGGAGACACATCCATCGAGACTGGGAGGCGAAAAACTCTATCGTACTAACTTGGCAAATTTCGTTCGACCATATCCGACGAATCAGACAGTCTGCGGCTGACTTGCTATCTCTTATGAGCTTTTTCGACCGACAGGGAATCCCAGAGGATCTATTACGAGTGCAAGGCATTAGGGGAAAATACAAAAATTTAAGTTCTCCGGAGGAAAGTGTGGGCAGCTCTAATGAAGAGGACGCGGACAGCTCGTCTGAATGCGACCTAAATGACGATTTCGAGAGTGACATTGCGACCCTTAGGGACTACTCTTTTATTGCTACCAGTGAAACTAGCATGGTGTTCACGATGCATCGGCTAGTGCAGCTCACGGTACGCACGTGGTTAAAAGCATATAGCCTGGAGGAGGAGTGGAAGGATCGATCTATTGACAAACTATACGCTGAATTCCCGACCGGTGAATATGAAAATTGGGAGAGGTGCCAATCACTTTTTCCCCATATTAGATCAGCGGTGTCACATCGACCAAAATCGCAAGACTCTCTACGGAGCTGGGCAGCTATACTTTACAGGGGGGCATGGTATGCAAGACAATGTGGCAATATCTCGGATTTACGGGAGATGGCATATGCGTCGAGAAAAGAGAGGATGAAGATCGACGGCGCTGAAAATAAAGACACTCTTGCTAGCACTGCAATGTTAGCAGTAGCATACCGGCTAGAGGGACAGTGGGAAGAGGCGGAGCAGCTCCAGGTTCAGGTCCTAGAGACTTGCAAGACGAAGCTCGGCTCGGGTCATCCTGACACGCTGACGAGCATGGCCAACCTGGCGTCGACATTCTGGGATCAGGGTCGATGGGAGGAGGCGGAACAGCTTCAAGTGCAGGTCGTGGAGTGTCGCAAGACGAATCTCGGCTCGGACCATCCTGACACCCAGACGAGCATGAACAATCTCGCGTCGACGTACTGGTACCAGAGTCGATGGGAAGAGGCGGAGCAGCTCCAGGTGCAGGTCATAGAGATAAGCAAGACGAAGCTCGGCCCGGACCATCCTGACACGCTGACGAGTATGGCCAACCTAGCGTCAACATATAGCAAACAGGGCCGACGGAAGGAGGCGGAGCAGCTCGAGGTGCAGGTCTTGGAGACGAGCAAGACGAAACTCGGCCCGGACCATTTCTCTACGCTGACGAGTATGGCCAACCTAGCGTCAACATATAGGAAACAGGGTCGATGGCAGGAGGCCGAGCAGCTCGAGGTGCAGGTTATAGAGACTTGCGAGACGAAGCTCGGCAAAGACCATCCTATCGCGCTGACGACTATGGGAAATCTAGCGTCGACGTACTGGAACCAGGGCCGATTGAAGGAGGCGGAGCAGCTCCAGGTTCAGGTCATGGAGACTCGCAAGACGAAGTTCGGCCCGGGTCATCCCTCTACGCTGACGAGCATAGACAACCTAGCGTTGATGTTATGTAATGAGGGCCGATGGGAAGAGGCGGAGCAGCTTGACGTGCAGGTTTTGGAGACTCGCAAGACGGAACTCGGCGCGGACCATCCCGACACGCTGACGAGCATGGCCAACCTGGCGTCAACGTATAGGGACCAGGGCCGATGGGAACAGGCGGAGCAGCTCGAGGTGCAGGTTTTGGAGACTCGCAAGACGAAACTCGGCGCGGACCATCCCGACACGCTGACGAGTATGGCCAACCTGGCGTCGACGTTATGGAACCAGGGCCGATGGGAAGAGGCGCAGCAGCTCGAGGTGCAGGTCATGGAGACTCGCAAGACGAAACTCGGCGCGGACCATCCCGACACGCTGACGAGCATGGCCAACCTAGCTTTCACGTGGGAATCTGCAGGCCAGCATGCGAAAGCAATTTATTTGCTTCGAACCTGCGTGGTCAAGCAACAACGAGTTTTAGGCTCAGCTCATCCTGATACTGTGTCGAATGACAATACGCTGCTGGAATGGGAAACTGCGCATCTTACTATGAAAGCATGAAGCGTTCATCATTGCTCTGCTTTTCTCGCATTGAGTTCGTCTCGCTCTACTGTATTTCATTGTCTAATTTTGTTACGATTCACTACGATCCTCCCTAGCAACCATGCATTTGACAATCCATTGTTTCTTACAAGTGTAAAGTACACTGGTTGTAACGGTGTTTTGAAACAACAGTATTGTGTAATTTTGGCATAACAGCCCCTGCATCGATACTATCCGTGTTAAGACTAGCGTGTTTCGGACAAGGGTTCCAAAAACAATCTTCTTGCGCAAAGCATGGAAGCCAATTTCGAATATAGCTGTAGTATTCTTCTTATAGAGACTAATTCTTGCCAAGTCCAAGTTTCAGGGGGAGGCGCTCTTATACCTCTTCGTCCCTGAATCATGGTGGTCAAGATGATGTATATAGCTACCCTCCGAGTCCTCTTTTGGCATATATAGTGCTTAGCATAATCATATAGTTTATCCCTAGAGAGGACCGCCAAGAACTTAGGACAAAGAAGCTATATATATAGTAGGGTCCTAGAATAAAATTCTACAACGTTTTTCCTTTAAATTTCTAACTATAGTCGAAAGTCAGTATATAAGCAGCATGAATAATACCGAGATACCGGTGTTATAGATAGTAGGAGGAGGTAGGGAATGGCGAGGAAAATGCGGAGGAAGGTTCAGCCAGGAGGCAACGGATGGTTAAATACTAGCTAGAGGAATATGAACTTGTGTAAGAGGAAATTCATAACCAGTTTCTGACCGCAGTCACAAACATAGTATTTGCCATAGATTACTGAGGGGCCACCTAGGCCAGTTGGAAGTTGAGGCTGGCTCACTAGGTGGCTCAGGTCGGCCATAGTGGGCGTTTTGCATGGAGGGTGGTTCAGGCCGGCCATGGTGGGATTTTGCATGGAGGGTGGCTCTGAGGGGCCATCTGGGCCAGTTGGAAGTCGGGCTTGGCTCACTGGGTGGCTCAGGCCGGCCATGGTGTGTAGCTCAGGCAGGCCATGGTGGGCTTTTTGCATGGAGGCTGACTCTGAGGTGGCTCAGACAGGGCATTGTGGGATTTTTGCAAGGAGGCTCACTCCCAGGGGCCACCTGGGCCAGTTGGAAGTTGAGGCTGGCTCATTAGGTGGCCCAGGTCGGCCATAGTGGGGTTTTTGCATGGAGGCTCACTCAGAGGTGGCTCAGGCCAGCCATGGTGGGCCTTTTTGCATGGACGGTGGCTCTGAGGAGCCATCTGCGCCAGTTGGAAGTTGGGCCTGGATTACTGGGTGGCTCGGGTCGGCCATGATGGGCTTTTGCATGGAGGGTGGCTCTGAGGGGCCATCTGGGCCAGTTGGAAGTTGAGCCTTGCTCACTGAGTGGCTCAGGCCAGCCATGGTGTGGTTTTTGCATGGAGGCTCACTCAGAGGTGGCCCAGGCCAGCCATGGTGGGGTTTTTGCATCGAGGCCAGCTCTGAGGTGGCTCAGGCCGGCCCTGGTGAGCTTTTTGCATGGAGAGTGTCTCTCAGATGGCTCAGGCAGGGAATGGTGGGGCTTTTGCATGGAGGCTCGCTCTGAGGTGGCTCAGGCCAGCCATGGTGGGCTTTTGCATGAACGGTGGCTCTGAGGGGCCGTCTGGGCCAGTTGGAAGTTGACCCTCGCTCACTGGGTGGCTCACACCGACCATGGTGGGCCTTTTGCATGGACGGTGGCTCCAAAGTGGCTCAGGGAGCCATGGTGGGCCCTTTGCATGGAGGCTCACTCTGAGGCAGGCCATCGCTGAACAGCATGCCGCACATTTGCTATCCATTCACTGTAATAAGCCCTTTGGTTGCCTCCTCGGTGAAGAAACAATCGATATGTAATTATTATAGCAAATACTGAGGAAACAAGGAAACACTCGTCCACTACCGATCTGGCGGGTCTATTATGTATATCCCTGTACGGTCCACGGGTAGGAAATAGCGGCATACCGGACAACTAGTATTTGATTGGTTGAGCAGTCAACTCGGTTGGGGTTTCCATGGCTGGCCTGGCAGAAAATCATTGATATAACAGCACCTATAGATCTATCATAGATCAATCTATCATACTGCTCTAAATATCGCATGTCACGTGCTGAAAGCCTTTTCGTATGAACGACGCTTTTTTTTTACCGTTGTTCTAAGGTCTACAGCTATCCATTTCAAGGAATAGATGGTTCTTCTAGCGATAACATTAAGAAGAAAAAAGAAGAATTTCCAAGAAGCCTTCTAGAATGATTCTAATACAATATCTCTACATAGTTATAACATCATGGGGTAGGGAAATAGATTAGATATAATTTAATAGTATGCCCAGGTGAAGGGAAGAGGCGAACAGTGCTGAGTTGATATGACCAAAAGAGGCGGAGAGCGAGGCGGTGAATTAGTCAATGTGCTGAACCAATCAAATGCCCGCTGTCTTATGTGTCGCTATCCCCAGCTGTATTCTTGGACTATGCAGATGTGGAAGTAAGGTGGATGAAGATCATCAATCTCATCTCCACTAAGTGTGACAAACTCACCAACACCTACCCGGTTTTTATGGGCATCACTAGATAGCAAATTTTCACCGGATAACAGATTGTTGGTATTAGGTATCTTTTCTATGGCAACTCCATACAAAAGATACATCACCACAACAGAGATCAAACATGACATCGATTTTCCCCTACTCTCAGACTAATTTGACAGAAAAATAAATGAATGAAGATCCAAGATAAGTCTGATTTAATCAATTTACTGCTGAGTTTGATCCAAATACATTATATAGAGGTGTACAGTTTACCTAAGAAGCACCACATCTATATCAAAGTTTAGCCATTTTCTTACTTCACGCAATTCTTACTGAACCTGATACTAAATACATGTGTAGTAATTGAGTCTTCATTTACACTATATATATCTTCTTATATTCTCCCTAACTATTTTGATGGTCAAGAAAATTGAGATTACAACTATGTTGTGTCTATGTACCTTTCGTATAGAATTGCTATACAAAAGATACCTGAGCTTTACAATTTGATCTGGTGGTGCCCTTGGCAGTCATTGATGGGCTTGCCACGGCTATCTATGATTATTTTACATTTCTTACGTGTCCACGAGAAACTAGATAGACATTCGCCAAAGGGTAATTGCACGCAATAGATATTGTATATTCGGATTTTGATGTATCCGGCGACAAGAGATATGTGTATGTTTCAAAGAGATCCCCGAAGGTGCTTTATTTACGAGCAGGAACTTCCGTCCTGCTAGCCCAAAGTACCCCATTCTGCAGCCATCTATCGTCGCTCATGCAGAAGGACTTGCTTCACTCTAGAAAGCCAACCCGAGGCCAGTACAGCTTGTTTGGCTCACTATTATTAGAAACCAGGTAAACCGAAGATAATTAATTTGTCGTAACTGTCTGAACGCTGGATCGGCGGAACGGATCAACGCGTAAGTAGGAGCATGCGTGTAACTCCAAAGGCTGGTATTTTGTTGCCTGCCAGGATCGTCGTCGGGAATCATACTTTGTACAGGCAAGTTCCCTGTTGGTGTACGGAATCTTTGAACAAGCCATAGTGCTGAGAGTTTTAGTGTTGGATTTGCCAATCATTCAATCTATCTCACTTTGCATTCATGCACTTTGACGTCGCCCTCTCCTTATCACTAGACATATCAACTTACATTCTGTTCGCTAAACTAGGGGCCGTATCCTTTGCGAAATCCACCAATTTCCCAGTGTTGTTGAGCTGGAATTGGGAACTTCGTACATTGGCCTCTGGAAAACCAATTTAGGATGTTGGAGATGACATTAATGTTATAGGTGCATTAGTCACAGGCGGTTGTACAGGTCGCCATATCTAATGTTAAGTTGAACCCTCCAGAGCTGAAACATCGGATGATTATACATCTCGTTTTTCCTATCACCTGTTCATGGGCGAGTTAGTCCGTGGCAAACCGCGCCATAAGCATAGTGTAGACCGACCTCAGGAGATTACACAGAAGGAACTTGCAATGCGACGTAGGTCAGACGAAATTGATAATGGCACAGTATGATGAACCGAAGGTTAATATCTCACTCGTCTGACTGCGCTAATAATCTCGCTAAACGCCACTTCTCGTAAAACCATCCGCGCACATAGCTTTTATAGTGCCCTATAGTGCCCTATAGTGCCCTATCGGGGACGGTAACACAGCCACGTGAATCAACATGCAAGACAGAGACATCAAAAACAAACTTAGCAGCAACCCAACTTGGAGATTTGGAATTCTGCTCTCAGTGCTTATGTAATAGAAGGCTAAAGGCAACCTAGGTATCTATGTAGGTACGGAGCACTCCGTATAATCCTTGCAATGAAGCCGGATATAAGGGCTGCAGGGTGCCATGTCCCGAGTCCAGACACGCACAACACAGATTATTGATTATTCTAAACGTGCACGGGTCTGTTTGAGTGGCTGTATGAGGTTCGGAGATACCGAACACTATATACGTACCTTGGTTATTTAGTCGACTGGTATATGTAGTACCTGCGACGTAGTGTTGTGTACTCCGTATCCGTACCCGTCGTGAGACGACACGCTCCGAAACCACAGCATTTGTAGACAAGTTCCTAATGGGGAACACACAGCAGCTGGGAATACCAGGGCAATCTTCCAAAAACGGTTCGTTCTTCTAGAAGTCAGCTAATGTATACAGCCTGCAAGGGCGAAGTTCCAGAGAGAGCAGCCAATGAGCAAGATGAAATACGACATTGTAAGCAAAGAAAGTCATCTGCCTTCATTGGCCAGCACCATGAGACGTTGGGCTAGTGGCGCGCCCGAGATCATCCAGGTATCCACGCAAAGTATAGCATGTAGCGCAGCCCCTGGGAGCTGAAACGGAAAAGGGGGAAATTAAGCGAAATCTGTCTGCAGGGCGCATATGATATGCAAGGTGCACCATTGGTGGGGTACAAGAGTTCTCAGATGCATTCCCGAGTATCCGAATGTAGGGGTGTTGCCCGAGACATATCAAACCACGCGTGCATTCCAAAGTCGGAATCTTGTTTCTGACAACTGACCACGCGAAATGTGAGCACGTGCGTGCCATCATCAAATCCAGCCCTAGGAGACCAAGCATTGTAGAAGCTCACTTGGCGACGCCCGCCGGGAAGCCTATTATTGCTTGACGGGCTTGGAATTGCTTGGAATTTCTTGGGATGATGTGAGATACCAAAGCAAGCTTTAGCCAAGATTCTGGAAGGTTTTGACGCAGATATGCTCGCATGCTTCGATTCCAGACGCGTTTTTGGCCCAAGATGGTCGATAGTACACAATTTTAGTTTCATTCGAAACAGATTTTGCCGGGCAACTCGCGTCGATAATAATCTAGTCCATGTCATCTTGTAGATACACCGGATAGATCGGAATGTAGGACAGCAGCGACACGCAACGTGAGAACACGTGTTGAAGGAAGGTTCAGGTTTCGAGGGAAGGTGTGGAGGATGGAGCTGCACATGGTCAAATGCTGCACGTTCATTGGTCAAAGATTATGCATAGAGGATGTTGGGGTTGTCGACTAGCGCCGAACTGCCTCAGCCACTACGTCAATATTCAATGGCCCAGATGCGGGCCGTTTCGGTACTGAAAGTGATTTTGGGAGAGAGATTGCTCTCTTGCGTATTGTACTCCGTAGACATCGAAAAATTGCCTCCGTCAAAGCGTAAATGATATTATGATATTCCCCTTGAATCCAAGATGACGACCGAGCGTCTGGTTACGGCGGGTGCTACTTTTGCCCGTGGCGTCCCATTGGCATCCCATTGGCATAGCATTGGCATTGCCTTGGCATGAAGTTTAGCTAATAATTGATATTTCAGTCTATATGTAAATCTTGTACATTGGAGATGCTTTATAATTAACGAACAAATAATGTTATATTGTAAATACTCCGTACATATAGGAGTAATTATTATCAACATCGAACTGAAACGGTGAACAGAATTTATCCCCCCGCGAAAGTTTGGAAGATCTGCCTCGAACCGAAGGCGGTGTCCACCAGAATTGGAATTCTGCACCCACGTGCACAGTTGATTGGCTCCCGGCATCCCCATAGAAGACCCACCTAACCCACTTCAATCCACTAAAAGTAGAAAATCTGCTTCCGGAACCAAAACTAGCAATAGGAGGACCAAGATCCGCGCCGAGAGAGGGCCCTGACCCCAAGACAGTGGTTGTCGCCTTCCGACCTTCCAAGCTTTTTCCTTTTGTTGGCCGATTTTTTCTGAGTTTAAGTGGAGACGCTGATTGTACCGTCGCATGTCTTCCACGCTCCGGTTCGCTCACTTCTCGCTTCTTCTTCTTCTCACCTTCTACATTTTCCTATACTTAAGAAGTCAATCGCCACTTTCTTGGGTTGAAGTTTCACCTTCCCCAACTATTGTGGTCACTTTGACTCTTCTTTCCGCCGGAATTGAACCCGTTACCAGGCAAAGTTCCTGCTCACGCGACACCTTTCAGTGAACGCTCCCACCATGACCGACTTTGGTCCTCGCGCCCCTCATGGGCCCGACATGTCGGGAGACCATAACCCGCTGGAGGATATGGATATGAACGAGAAGGGTGCCTTCGATTCCCTCATTCGCCCCGATGACAGCTACACCCCCGAGGGCACCTACTGGGCTGATCTCCCGCTGTGGAAGAAGATCACATTCGTTACCTCCTACAACAACATGGAAGCAAAGAGAGAGCTGAGTGATATCTGGAAGATGATCAAGGAGGACCCTCTTTCGCCCGTCTCTTACTACTTCCGCAACATGGTCCTCCCTGGTGCTGGTCTCGGTCTGGAGGGCTACGTGCTCTTCTCTATCGGCAATATCAAGCCTCTCTTCCAAGCAGCCTTCCCTGATTGCTGGAAACACGCCAAGACCTGCAGTCAGCAGTGGATCTACGCCATCGACTACCTCGAGATCATCGGTATCATCGTGGGTCAAATACTGGTTGGAGTCTTGGGTGACTGGTAAGCTACAATTGTCCTACATGTGGGAACGGGGCTATACTAACGCGCGACTAGGATTGGCCGTCGATGGGGTTTGATTCAGGATGCCGTTATCATGCTTCTCGGTCTTGTCATGTTGACTGCCGCCTGGGGTGTGACCCAGAATGGCTGGATCATCTGTTATGCTTGGTGTCTCTTCATCTACGGTATCGGTGTTGGTGGTGAGTACCCCATGACTGCCACCAGCGGTATGGAAAATGCCGTCGGCTCTGGAAAGGTCTCCACCAAAGAAGATCGCCTGCACCGTGGCCGCAAGGTCACCAGTGCCTTCCTGATGCAGGGCTGGGGTCAGTTCTTCAACCAGGTTCTGCTTATCATTCTCCTTCTCTGCTTCCACCACGGCAGTGGTAACAACCCTTACTCCACCGTCTCTGTTCAGTGGACCTACCGAGTTTCCTTCGCGATTCCCGCCGTCGGTACTTTGTGGCTTGTGTACTACCGTGCCTACCACATGAAGGCTGCTAGCAAGCAGCTTGCCGTTGCCAAGAAGAAGGCTTCCGTCACTGGTTATGATGCCGAGTCTCTGAAGTTGACCTTCAAGTACTTTGGATTCCGCATGTTCGCAACTGCTGGCGGTTGGTTCGCCAATGATGTTTTCTTCTACGGCAACAAGCTCTTCCAAAGCGAGTTCATCAAGGTGATCAGTCCCGAATCTCACTCTGTCATGCCCACCTGGTTGTGGAACTTGGTCAATGTCGGCGTTTCTCTGTGCGGATACTATATGGCCTCTTTCTTGATCGACAACAAGCTGTACGGTCGCAAATGGATGCAGATCATTGGTTTCATGCTCTGCTTCATTCTCTTCATCATCCCTGCTTTCAACTTCGAATACTACCGCCGCCCTGAGAACATCAAGTCCTTCCAGACTATGTACTTCCTGAGCTCTTTCTTCAACCAGTTCGGTCCCAATTCGGTCTCCTTCCTGGTCGCTGCCGAGGTTTTCCCCACACCTATTCGTGCCTCCGCTCACGGTATGTCCGCTGCCTGGGGTAAGGCCGGTGCCCTTTTGGCCGCCGTCCTGTACAACTACATCGATACCCAGACCAAGTTCTACGTTGTGCCCTGGTTTGGTCTGGCCGGTGCTGTGATCACTGCGTTCTTCCTTCCGGACACCACCGGCCTCGACCTGAAGGAGCAGGAGCGCCGATGGCAATACCTCCGCCAGGGTCGCGAGCAAGACTACCACGGTCCTGCCGTGCACCCCAAGCACCTGTCATGGTATGAGCGCTACGTCCTGCGCAAGTCCCGCTACTATGATGCCGAACTCGACTACCAGCAGAAGGTCGAGGATTACCGCGTCGAGTGGGAGACGGCTATGGCCGCCAAGTCCGCTGAAAAGGATTCTCCCGATGCTATGGACACTGATGACTCGCTTCTTGAGGGCCACGTGCACACATACTTCCACCGCACTAGCCCTATGTTCAAAGGCATGGAGAAGAATGTCTCTTCTAAGCAGGATACCTTCACCTTGCCTCCCCCTGCGGAGAGCGAGTCTGAGGATGCTTACAGCAATGAGAAGCACAGCCGTTAGTATGCTCGGTCCTCAGGTTATTGCCTGTGATGAGACCGTGGACCATTAAGCTAGCCTGGCTATGAATAATTCCCCTTTTTTTCAATTTTTCTTTTCTTTAAAAAGCCTATTATGCATATACACCGAGTCGCTTCTTCTTCATGCTCGCTATATGAATTGACTTTTTGCTTGACGCATGAAGCGGGCCCCTCGATACATGGATACATATTGACATATTGATACCACATTGCTACAATATTATTCTTGAAGACCATTCATCCAATACTTAAGACTCGTAGTCAACAACCTTCGGAAGAGACTAGATTTTGCAAGTCTAGCCTGAGGCAGCAAGGCTGACTAACGCTATATTTTCTGCCCAGGCGGGCACGCGGACATCGATCGAAATGGATGTATATGAATCTCACACTTCGTCAAATTCGATGATACCCCAAACATAAATCCCAAGAAAAACGACAAGAAAAGCAAGTAACATGAGACTCTTCGCCTTCGGCTCCAACGGATCAGGCCAGCTAGGCATCGGCCACGAGGAAGACGTCTCCACACCAACCCAATGTCTCTTCGAACAGCCAGAGACCTCACAAGGATCCCACATAACCACCATTGAAAACACCGACCTCACAGATGAATCTGAGATCATCACAATCGCAGCAGGCGGAAACCACACTCTCTTCCTAACGACCAACGGCTCCATATACGCCTCCGGCTGCAATGCAGACGGACGGTGCGGGCCGCACAGTGCAACCAAGAACATAAAAGAGCACGAGTCCGACAGCAACGGAAACATCCTGCGCTTTCGTCGAATGATTATCTCAGACTCAGTCTCCAACACAGAGATATCAAAATTCAAACACGTCTCCGCCACGTGGGAGGGCACGATTGCTGTAGCTTCCGTGCCACGAAGCAGCGATAACGTCGACCATGGACACATCCCCGACACAGAAGATCGAGTCTTTGTCTTCGGCTCCTCGCCTAAAGGTGAACTGGGTCTAGGACAAAACATCCCTGCCCCGGGAGCATGTATCCCCTCCTTCCCGCCACCGGATTTGAAAATCACAGCGCTGACGAGCGGGATGGCTCATTCGGCTGCTGTGCTTTCGAATGGGGATGTCTATGGCTGGGGGGCGGCGCGGAAGGGTCAGCTCGGGAGGGAGAATCGAGAGGCTAGGATTGCTTATTCTCCTGTTCGGATTTCGGTGCCGTTTTTTGCGGAGGCTGTTGCTTGCGGGAGGGAGTTTACGGTTGTTTCGGGGCGGGGGCGGTTTGTTGTTCTTGGGGATAGGGGTAATCGGTGGTGTATATTGAATATTCCGGAGAGTTTATCTTTGCGTGCAGGGCATGTTGGAGATCATTTACAGGATGATGAGCAAGGGGATTATGGAAGTTGCGGAGGTACTATTCCTTATCGCTATACTGGTATTCGGGCTAGCTGGCATGGGGTTTATGTACATGCTGCGCCTGAACTGGGACCGGTGGAACCGTCGATATCAAACGAGGCGTTATGCACCAGATCTCGATCAGTTGCACAGACTGACTCTGATTCTGATTTTGTCGGTGGTTCCATTGTTGCTTGGGGGCGCAATGATCGAGGCCAACTTCCACCGCCAGGTCTTCCGACTCCTGCTAAACTCGCTGTTGGTAGTGAGCATGCGCTTGCTCTCCTTGGAGATGGCCGAGTGGCGGCGTTTGGATGGGGCGAGCATGGGAACTGTGGGCCTGATACAGATTCCCAAGGGAACGTATCAGGTACATATAATGTGATTTCGCTCCCTGAAGCTATGGGCGCGGATGGGAAGGTCGTCGGGGTTGGGGCGGGGTGTGCGACTAGCTGGATGATTGTGACATGATTGCCTTTGGGACCTGGGAGCGCCGAGCGTCGCTGGAAACCCGCGCTGCCCTTGACAGGTGTGTTTGCTCAGTCAAAAAGACCATATTGGCGAACCTATCAATTATCAGCACACGTGTATTAAAGTGTCGCAAGAACCGGAATTACATACCTGAGATAAACGCTGTGTCGGCGGAAGACCCATCTCATCGTCTGGCTCTTCGGCATGAGAACCGTCCTGCTTCGAGAAGGAAGGCTCTGCATTGCGAATAGATGCCCCGAATGCGTCCTGGGCGTTTGGTTAGCCACCCATCTATACCCACCAGAGATGGAAAAAAAACCACATACCTGTGTTCCTGAAGCATCCCATCCAAGAATATCCTGCGGCTCCTCTTCTTCATTCATCTCATCCCACTGGCGGTCATCATCAGCAGGCACGAAAAGGCTGTCAAATTCCATCAAAAGCCCAGACGCCACCGGCCTATCTGCGCTAGGTTTCTGGCTCAGATTCTCCTGCGTAGATGACCCATTGAGAGGACGGATAGATCTACTTCGCGGTGGCGGCGGGGGCATCTGAGTGCTCGGTGTCACCGATGGTCGAGTATCGCGCGGCCTGGTCACTGAGATTGGGACAGGCGCGGGCGTTTGCCTTGGGATTGTCGCCCGTGTTGACGAGGGGACGTCTTCGCTATCTGCCTGGCCGCGGGTCATGACTGTGAATTCTGCGTTGACGCCTTCGAATCGGTATTCCAGTTGCAGGGGCTTGCAGGGTCGAGTGTACCGTGCTGTTACGGTTGCGTTTGCCGTTTCGGCGTGTGCAACTATGGCTTTGAAGTCTTTCAGATTGATCGCAACGTGCATGTTCTCTTCGACCAAGTACTCTTGGAAGTCGCGCTTGTCTGCTGCCACCGATGTATGGACTGGGTGCTTTAGTACTTCTGCTTGGGTGTTAGTCAACTAGATCTTTGAGACTCGATGGAGGTGAACTTGACATACCCTTGCCATCGGTGATTTTTGTTGTGAAGCTTGTGAACACCGCTCTGCCGGAATCAGAGTACATGTCCAGCTGCTCGGCAGATAAGCTAAAGTGCTCAATGAGCTGTTTGAGGAACCGTGGATCAGCAGTCCACATGCTGGTAGCTTTGGATTTGTCGAAGACGGCATGCTGAACAGCCGCTGGTTCGTAGGTCAACTTGTATGACTTGATCACGCCTAGATATAGTGTCAGATATATGCAATATAAGCCAGGAAAGACAGTTCGATGCAAGGGTATTTCACCTAGTCCACAGATCATCTTCACTGTCAGTCTACATTCAGTTTGCTGCAGATCTTCATGCAATTCCATGTCACAGCGTTCAACGGCTGTGTCCTTGTTTCTTTCAATTCTCCCGCGAAATACGGAGAGAAGTGCCTGGATTCGATATCAGCATAAAGCAGAGAAGATAATCACCCGTAAACCTACTGTAGGACACAAATCCAACTGTGGAGATAGGTCGATATACTCACTTTGTTATAGATCTGGCAGAAGAATCGTTCCAGCGAGACACTGCCACTCCTGCCATTATTGCTGGAGTTAAAAGAATACGCCTCAAAGAATACCCCCTTCTCGAACGCGAAGGAGGCAAACCCCGTCTTGGTGGAATTGAGGGCACTGAGGCGGAGCTGGGGTACAGTTAGCCAGAATATTTCATTTGCTGGCTTCCAGAATTTGGACTGAATTTATCACCCCCAAGGTAAGATAACTTACGAGGTCAGGCTCTGCTTCGATGGCGACTGTTTCGCTGAATTTGGATAGGCATATTAAGGCGTCGTGGAGCCGGACTAAGGCTGGCGGGCCTAGCGACAATGAGAGCGACGTCATGGCTGTGTTGGGGCTGCTTTGCCTCCTTATGGGTGTCAAATAGGTTTAAGTATGGAGTCAACCTGTAAATATCAGTTTATCTATCTCATTGAGCTCATGGCGCGCTGTTGGCTGTTCGAGATTCGGTCGAAGAAGAAGACGCGGACAAACACACGAGATTACATAAGCTATATAGACCCGTCCACAGGTCCATGGACTCGGGAACCCACCCTGGGTCACGAGGTCCATCTATGTATACTCCGTACTATATTTATTTCATACACGCCCACGGATTATCCTGCAGATTTTTAGTTACTTGAGACACTGGTCTATTTCAGAGTTTATGAGTTTCTCTATGGAGATAAGCATACTGCATCGGCTTCTTCCATATACTGTGTCCTTTGTCCTTCGTGTTCGGTGACTGTTAGGGCTTGCATCAGTATCACTCTAGTAGTAGACGGCTTAGACCCCGAAAACTGTAGTTTATGTCCAGATGGCTTATCTAGGTTAAGTAACAGGCCTGGATTATCCCAGCATGAGCAGTTAGCCGAACGAGAACAAAGAAGGCTCGTGCCGTGACGGATCGTCGTCTTTCGACATATACCAGGTCGTGTCTGTGAAAGACAATAAGAGGAATTATGAAGCCAAACTTTGTCTCCCAGAGACCGTCATGAACGAAATTTGTATAGTGATCCGCATATAGCCCTTCTTACGGCATTCTATCTGGATTGCGGCATCGATGGCACCACCCGCTCATTGACGATTTCGAGTAACTCGAAATAAAAGCGAATCTCGGAAGCCATAGAAGTGGGAGGTCCATGGTGAGCAAGGAAAGTGTTGCAAATTAATCGCAGCCTTTACTTAGCTAAACGCTCAAACTTGGCAGCTTTCCCGAGGTCATGCCGCTCGCTCTGGATGAGCTTGGAGAGACGCGAAACCCTACTTACGACTCCATTACAGCCCTTCTTTTAGCCCCTAAGCACCTACGATACACCTTAGTGACAGGCAGGACGGGCAGAGTAGTGAATAGCGAGAAATCCGCCAACGGCCAAAATAGGCGAAAAGCGTAGATCGGCTTGTGCTTATGACATAAGATCGGCAAAGGTTCATCCGGAAAACTGTACCCAGCCCTACAGTGACACCTCCTATGTGTTAACACCCTTTCCACTACCGCCTTCCTAAAGATCGCACCGCCTAGTCCTCCCGTCCATATTTCTTAGTCTTTGATTGGTAGGATTATGGCCGGCAGAATATGGTG